AAGTAATGATAATAATAATAATAATCATTAATTATTAAAAAAAATGTATGGATTAAACATTTAGAGAAGAAGAATGAGCAATTAAATAAAAAGGTTAAAGTAATGGAGGATCATAAAGATTGATGGAGACAGAAGTATCAGGAGAGTGAAAATATGTTGTCAGAGATGTTTGAAAAATTGATGAGAGAAAGCAGAGAAGAAGAGGATTATTTATAAGCAAAAAAGGTGGTAAGTAGAAGAAGAAATATGAGGAGTTATATGAATGAGTAAAGATGAAGAATAGTTGAAGAAGAATGAAAAAAAACTAGTTGATCAAAGGTGGTATTGGGTATTCATTTGAAGAAACAGATTACAAAGTTGAAAGGAGAAAAGAAAGTTTTAAGAGAAGAGTTGCAAAAGAAGATGGAAGAAGATAATTTGTTTTGGTGACAAAGAAAAGATAATTGGTTGAAAGAAAAAGATATTTTGGAGAAGAAAAAAATGATTTTAAAAAGGAGAAGAAGATTTTAAATAATAAGAAGAATTTTTGGAAGCGAAAAATACAAGAGATATTATGGTAATTAAATAATTATATTATTTAGTTAATTTAATATATACTAAATAATATATAATTTAATTATAGGAAGACTATAAAGAAAAATGTTGAAAAAGAAGAAGTTGAAAAGGTAAATAATATGGAGGATGTAATAGAGATTGAAGCTGATAGTTCTATGACTATTTGTGATTCAAGTGAAGAAGATGAAGAAGAGAGGTATTATTATAATATAGCAATATTATTAATAATAATAATGATAATAATAATATTGTTAATTTAGAGTAAAAATTAGAGGAGAAAGAAAAGTTATTGGAGAAAAAGAGATTTTAGATTTGAATTTTGATGACAAAAATTGGATGGATTGGCCTGTATTTGTTTTAGATAATGATGATAGAGGTGAAAGAAGTAGTAAAGGTAGAAGGATTTAAAGAGTTATAAAGATTTGTTTTTAGTTATAATAAAGTCATTAGTTTTTGTTCATTAAGAAAATTGTAGCGCTATCCTATTACTAGATCTAATTATATTAAAGGTCAATAAAAGTCTAATAAAATATAAAATAAATAAATGTTTAATAGAATTTAAATTCAATAGCCTCCAAAAATACTATAAGGATTTTGCAATAGGTCAATAATTAGGGCCGTCATTTGTTGTCCTTTTTGTATTAGCCAGGTATAACAAAAACTTGTTTGCCTTTTACAAA